TTCTGCAGATTCTGTGACTATCTGTACTTCCTCTCCTTGTTGAAAGATGAGTCTGTCTAGTTGTATCTGTCTTCTTGATCTTTCTAGAACACTGTTAATCATGGCATATTTATCATTATCATATTGCTCTTGTCTTATTGTGATTCTTCTTTTTATTGCATTGTTTTGTCTTTTGTGTGCGATAGCCTTAGCAACTGTTTTGTGTACTTTTATGATGCCTTGGATCTCCTTAAGCCAATCTTCAAGGTATGTATTGGGATGTTCAGTTTCTAGTTTGGCGAGTATGGTTGCCAGGTCAGGAATGGATCTTTGTATGTTTACTGGGATTTGAAGAGGCTAATGCGATTTTTCTTCTTCTTTATCTGTCAGATGTTGTTTAACTTGTATGAGGAAATTCTGTAAATGAATTATGAGTGGTATCTCTTCCCTGTCTTTGGCTTGATGTCTTTTTCTCCAGTGGGGTTTCTTCTTTGGAATAATTTTTTTGGCTAACTTTTGGATAGTGTCACTGAACTGATTTTATCTATCGTCTACAGACTGGTAGCTTGGGCATTCTGTTGGTATGTTGCACTCAATTGATCACTGAATTTTTCCCATTGTTGTGCTGTGATAAGTTGTCAGTTATATCAGTGATTATGTTTGTGATATGTTGCTTGTTTGGGTGTGTTGAGGCTTCATACTTCTATTTCTGCTATCATTGTGACATGGTCACTCAAGATTGATGGTGTGGTGGAGTCTTGGATGGTGGCTGTTCTTGATTGCCATATTGCCTGTGGGCTCATACATATTTGGTCAATCCTACTGCTGCTTCCCTCTCTGTTCCATGTATATTCTCTTTTTGTAGGATTGTGCATTCTGTATATATCCTCCAAGTTGTTGTCCAGGAGGATTTGTATTTGTTTTCTTGAGGGGTGGTATTTTTTGATTGTTTTTGTATTGCTATGCTTATCGATTGCTGGGTTGGGAATGCTGTTCATGTCCCCTACTACCATTAAGTGCCATTCTTTTTCTGTTGCTTCTTTGATCCACTTGTTGAGAGTATTGAGTACCATTTGTTTTTCACCTTCCATGTCTTGTACTGGGAAGTATACTCCAGTTATTCTCATTTTCTTTTTATGTGGGAAAGCCAGGTCGGCTACTATCAGTCTGCCTGCAAGTGTTTTGTAATTGTAGATTCTGTATGTGATTTCTTTGTTAAACATTATATTTAAACCTTGTCCACTGATCTGTGATTCTTTATGGGTCCATATGGTCTGAAATTTTTTGTGTTGCCAGTGTTTTGATTGTTGGTGTGAACCATTTGTCTCTGTAGTAACTATGATATTCCAATCTGCTGCATTGCAAAAGTTAAACCATGTTTTATGTTTGTGTGTTTCTACCAAGCCTTGTATGTTGAATGTTACAACTTTCAATATTGGCTTGTGTTCTCTATGTGTTGTTGTGAATGTTGTTGTACTGAGGGTTGTGTTGTTTGTATTTGGATTATATGCTGTATTTGTTTTTCAGATGTCTGTTCTTTCTGTTTGTTGTTCAGTTATACTAAAAAAATTTGTTGTTTGGTTGTTACTGGAATTGCCTGATTCTTCTATTGATGTGGTGCTTTGATTGCTACCCATTATTGTCTATGTGAGGGGGGAAGTGTGCTGCCTGAGATGAAGTTGGGTACAGTGTTGTACATCTGATCCATGTGCTTATCTAACTTCTGTATAGATGACTGAATGTGTTGTTGTTGGGTACGGATGTCTTGAGTACTGTTTTGGAGTGTTGTGTCTGTTGCTGGATTTTCTTCTGTGTTGATAGGAGAGATATCTTCATCCATTTGCTTTGTGTAGTCTTCATCATATGTTTCTAGGTTGACAATGCGTTCCTCTAAGTCGGCTATGTCTTCTTTCATCTCTTGAATTTCTTGCCTAATTGTTTTAAGGATATGAATTACTTCCGCTATGACTGTTTGAGGTAGTTGGAACTATGTTTCATCTTCTTTAGAAAGTCTTGCTACTGCTGCGTAAGAGCCTGGCCTGACCTTCCTTTGGTTGTTATGTGAGGTTGCCCTTCACTTTATGGTTTCTGTGCATGCTAGCCTATATCTATTGTACAGTTTACCAAATTTGTTGGCTTGTTCTGTGTGGTATTAGTTCCAGTGTGATCTTCTTTCTTTGATTGGACATTGATCGACTAAGTGTATTGCACTTCCACAGATAGTGCATAATTTTGTATCAATTGGTTTCCATTCTGCTTGGGTTTCTTCAAGGAGAATGTTCTGTGTTATAGCTGTTTCCAGGTCTTGTTGGCTCATGAAATCAATTATTGCGAACTGCTTGCATCAGTATAATATGTGTCTAGGGATATAGCATGTCTTAGCTCCAGTTTGTTCATAAATAAGTCTGAGGTCAAAGGCCATAGTATTGGGTGGGAGGTTTGTTAATTTGACTGCGGTACTTCCACGTGCCTTCATTTAATCCATATCCCATTGTGCGTCGAAAATTCGGACTGAGTCTGATCATAAGAGAATACTTCATTTGGCAACTAAGTTTTCTTTTACCTGTTTGTCTGCATAAGAGATAACTGCCGATTGCCACATTTGCTATGTGGACATATTGATATTTGTGATCTCTCCAAATTTGGCAAAGGTTTGTTGTACCTCCATGAATTTTGTGTCGAGGAGAATGTCCCATACTCTGATACTATTTTCTTTATTTGGTCTAGGGGATGTGAAAGCCATGTGTTATAGATAAGCTTCATCTGTTTCAAGTAAGATAGTGTTGCATGCTTCTTCTGCAGTGTGTTGATCACTGAAAATGGCAATGATATGTTTCTCTTCTCCTTTTCCTTCGCTATGGGTAGAAAGAAGGTCAGTGAGTGTGTTCAAGCTCTTTGCAATGTATGTCATCTTCTGGTTAGTGGTTCTTCCTGGGACTTCTGATACTTTGATGCCTGTTTTGACTCTTTCTCTGCTGAATCTTGTTGTTGGGTCAATCGGTGATCTTGGTCTGAGTTTGTCCACTCTACCAATTAATATATTTCTGTGTGAGACTTCCTGCCATTGTTCACAAGATTCAGGTTTTGTCTGGCTGCTGCTGCCTGATTCCTCTATTTCTATGTCTGAGTCATCTATTCTTGCTGCTGTAGATGGGACTAGAGGTAAAGATGGGTTCCTAAAGAGAAGGTAGGGACATAAGTCAAATGTCCCTCACTAGGAAACATTAAAATTTTTAAATTAATAACTATAAAAAAACTAC